CCCCCCCCCCCCCCCCAACCCCAACTCCCATTTTTGATTTTGCATACGTACTCTTTTGTTCTATCCCTACTCATTCTTTACAAGTCATATTTACGTAAATGCTAACTGCTCACATATTCTTCAATCGTCTAGGGAGATAATGTGCCCCAACCCTTCATCTCATTTGAAGCCACTGGTTTGCCCTCGGAGATTCTACGGGAGGTATTTGCATAATTTGTATATTTGCAGTTCTTTGACAGCTAGAAGCCTATATAAGTTTAAACTGTCGATGAATCATATTTTCTGCAACATTAATTGACTGCTGGATGTTAGCTAGAGATTAAGGACTCATACTCAATTTTTTCCATCCGAACTTTTTGTCTCAGGTGCGATAAAACGAGGTTCCTCCTCGGTTTACACGTACGCTGTGCCGCCATTGTATGGGGCTTGATGTATTTGGAGTGCCCTTATTTGGTGACCAATTTTGGGAAGGGCTATCTAAATCATACAAATTTGTTGCTGGGACTTTGTTGATAGTTGTTCATTCTACCCCTTGGTCCGAATAGGAAAAGAAACGTCCTCCTACTGTAGCTTGTACCAGCAAGCAGTGTCTGTTTACATTGGGGGATGTTACTTGTTCTTGCACTGTACACTCCCATAAGCCTGAATGAAACCAATCACAAATCTTGAAGAGAGTACCTCTGCTTACAGGCGTTGCCTTTTTTTGGTTTTCCAGGTATACCAAGCTGGATTTTCTGCTCCTACTCCAATACAGGCACAATCTTGGCCAATTGCTCTACAAGGTCGCGATATAGTAGCCATAGCCAAGACAGGCTCTGGGAAAACACTGGGTTATTTGATTCCTGGCTTTATTCATCTAAAGCAACGACGTAATAATCCTAAATTAGGTCCAACAGTTCTGGTATTGTCGCCAACGAGGGAGTTGGCAACTCAGATACAGGATGAAGCCGTGAAGTTCGGAAAATCGTCGAAGATATCTTGCACGGTATGGATTTAATGATTGCTTGAATTTAATGCATATTGTTGCAATAACAAAGATGCTTCTATTTGTGTCTTCTTATGTAACATTGCAGTTTTGAAGGTGTAATACTATTTCCTTATTTTTTTGGTTTGCAAATTATCTTGGATATGTTGGTCTAATCATATTCTGAAGGAATATTGTATGGGGGAATGAAGTTTTTTTTAGGAGATATTATATGGCTCAAAAGTTGAAACAGTTCTTAATTGAGTCCATATTGTGTCCGTATAGGCCTCAAACTTAGTTTTCTGTCCTTTTTTATATAAATTTTCACTTTCATAGGTTATTGTTCCAACGAGGTCACCCTACAACTCTAACTTCCTTCATTCATTCGTTTTTGGCCTCTTTAAGAGTTTAATATAAATGATCCTAAATTACTGAGTAATAGAATAACCTACCGAAACTTGCCCTCATATAAATAAAATCACATTTGGTCGATATCTCCCACATGTCATTCATGTACACCACCATCCAAGAGTTTGTTGGATGTTTTGGTCAGACCTACAAAATTGACATGCAGTAAAAGAATTATATGAGCTACATGCTTAACAATTACAGATCATATATTTTCATGCATGCATGTCATGTAATTCTCAAAATTATATCATGCTGGAATGTCATCATGTCATGCCCATTCTTTCTATAAATATCAAGATCAAATCATTTTTGGCGAAATCTATCATTTGGATCTTTACCCATTAGCTATGATTGTTCACTAACTATTAACTCCACCTTCCTGATTTTTTGGAATAAAATCTATTTTTTGGTAATTAATGCCTTTTTTTATATTTTGTTGTTATTTCTAGTTTTATAGGTAACTGATTTAGTTTTTAAATAAAAATTTTGAAACACGTGAGGTCTATATATAATCTAATGCTTCGAATTAATGATGAGAGGAGTATTGGGAATTTCCATTAATAATGCCTTTCGCTGAGTTTTTTGATGCAGTTCAAACCTTAGGTGGGCCTATGAGAGTTTAGGAGTTACACTATTCTTCTCTCTCTTTTCTCCTGTCATAACTTCCAGTGTTCTTGGGTACGCAAGGACCAAGAACAGTTTCATTACATTTTCCGACTCAGCCTATTTGATAAATCATTGTAGATCCGAAATTGCTAAAGTATAGAATCTCTCACCCCCTCAAAAAAGTTTGGCCTAAATTGCAACTTGTTCCTTCTGCCGTTATCTGAATCCATTTCTGATCTTAGTTTTGTTGTTGTGTGAGGAAGTGTTTGTATGGAGGTGCACCCAAAGGTCAACAGTTGAAAGAGCTAGACAGAGGTCTTGTAGATGTGGTGGTGGCTACTCCTGGTCGGTTGAATGATATTCTGGAGATGGGAAGAATTAGCCTCCATCAAATTTCATACTTGGTGTTAGATGAGGCTGACCGAATGCTGGACATGGGGTTTGAACCTCAGATAAGGAAGATTGTGAAGAATGTACCTACTCGTAGGCAAACCCTGATGTACACAGCAACATGGCCTAAGGAGGTGCGAAAAATTGCTTCTGATCTTCTAGTCCGTCCTGTTCAAGTTAACATAGGAAATGTTGATGAGCTTGTTGCAAACAAGGCAATCACCCAGGTGCATTTTATTTTTGCTTTTCCATCTCTCTCTATCTACTTTATTACGTATTCAAGAAAAAGAAGTCATTTTCATACTTGTTACTGGGTCCTAGTTTTCATATAGAATTATTGACTCTTGAGACGTTGTTATATGCAAAGAATGTTGAAGTTTTGTCATCAATGGAGAAGCGTAGGCGTCTGGAACAGATATTGAGATCTCAAGAACCTGGATCAAAGATAATAATTTTCTGTTCTACAAAGAAAATGTGTGATCAACTTGCAGGCAACCTAAACCGTCAATTTGGAGCAGCTGCTATTCACGGAGACAAATGTCAGAGTGAGAGGGATCATGTGTTGAATCAGTTTCGCACAGGAAGGACCCCAGTGCTTGTTGCTACTGATGTGGCTGCCCGTGGCCTGGACATTAAAGATATCAGGTTGGTGATGTATCAAATTGATTTTGCGAATATTGAAATGTATGCTTGAAACCCATGTCTTTGGTTAAAAACTTAAAACCTATAACATACTTATGAACCATTGCTCTTTTGGGAGGAACTAAACAGTCTCACATATAGTTGTGCATTCCCCATTTCCTCTTGCAATGAGTTTTAATTTTACCTATGTGGTGCATTTGTGAATGCATATCTATTTTTATCAGCTGTTTTTTTAATATTTGGGGGAACCTCAACTTGCGTGATTGCATCTCCCATCTTATTGTGAATCTTCTTATTTTTATTGGCTCCGTGTCCTCAATGTTGATGAGGTTATAAAATTACTGAAATAATGGACGATCTGGTGAAGCTGTGTGATTTATAGTGTTCTAAAGATTTGTTGTGTGATTGGTCTCATGCAATGATAGTTTCTTCTCATCACAGGGTGGTGATAAATTATGACTTTCCTACGGGAATAGAAGACTATGTTCACAGAATTGGGAGAACTGGACGTGCGGGTGCCACAGGTTTAGCTTATACTTTCTTCTCTGACCAGGATGCAAAGCATGCATCAGATCTTGTCAAAATTTTGGAAGGAGCAAATCAACAGGTTCCTGTTGAAATTCGTGATATGGCTTCACATTGTGGTGGTGGTTTCGGGGGGGCAAGACGTCAGTGGGGTTCAGGATCTGGTGGTCGGGATGGAGGTCGTGGTGGACGCTATGACTCTGGCTATGGTGGAAGAGATGGTGGAAGGGGTGGTAGCCATGGTTATGATTGTGACCAGCAAGAAGGGTAAATTTTCATTTCTTTCCCCATATATTTTTGGTTATCAGAATTGCGTCTCACTTTTGTGTACTATAGATATGGTTACAGATCCCACAATGCGCATGATGAGGATGCACTTAGGAGCAGTCATTCTAAGAGCTTCCATGAAAGCATGATGACTAATATGAATAACACAAGTACAAGTCGCAGTCGAAGCAGAAGCCCAAACAAGAATTCTGGATGGGGTGAGAACCCAGGCAGGGCTCGTAGCCGTAGCCGCAGCGTGGAGAGGTTTGATACTGCTGCCCCTTCCCGACGTAGTTTCCATGAAATGATGATGGAACGGGCCCAATCATCTGATTCGCATGATCATCACAAGAGATCTCCATCTGATGGTAATGGAAAGGAAACTTTTGGTGGATCTTACAATGGCAATGATAAACAGACGTTGGGAAGATCACCACCTGGTCAACAACAGGGTACTGAACAACTTGCTGATTGACCAAGTCCCAACCATGAAGAGGAAGAAGAGAAGCTATGATTCCTGCAGCTGAAGAGGACCTGATAACCGGGATGATTAACAGTTCAGTTAACTCTCAAGGTGCTTCTGGAAGGGAATTTAGTTTGGGGGATTTTTGTATCTGAATTACATAATTAGCATTGTAGTTGCTGATGGGGGGTTTTATAATTTTGTCTCAGCAAAACTTGCAGACCTTTTTTTGTCGGGTTTCAACCCTTTGAGTTTGCATGTCTAGGAACCTTTTTAAGCTGGACAGTGTCTTGTTTGTGGATATTTTCTGCTGTACTGGATACAAGTTTATAGTTTTGTGAAGGATAAAAAGTTTAGTGCTATGGAGGATTATATATCTTCAGTTTCTTATTTTTACTGCATTATTTTTAAAATTATACTTTTATCTTCCTTTTCTTTCTATGTGCAGTCATCCAATATTCTGTACCAAACAATGATATCCTCCCCCAGCACCTATCGCACCTACACCATTTTAAGTGATAGTAGTCACTATCTTTTTCGTGGAAAGGTAAAAAAAAACTCATCAAATCGAGAGAAAACAAGTGCAAATCATAGCAATCATTAGCCAAGACACTTGAGAGAAGTAACACCACAATGCAGTCACTTAATAGTCTCAACATGTCGATGAAGATTGTATTATCTATAACAATCAACGTCTAGAACCCTTAGTAGAAAAGTATACCCATAAAAGCTAGTCTAGTCGTTGCACATGCGAGAAGCTTGCACCATATGTTCTTTCAACATCTTAGCAACAGAATGCATAGCTAACCATAGTCGAGGGAGGCAGGTCAGGGAACACGAAAATTGCTTGACCTAAAATTTATCAGGCAATCCCTCTTCTTCACTATCCCTAAAAAATCACCTCTAAAAGTCTTCTTACTGTATCCCCTGATATCATGTTGAAAAATGTCATTAGACAAGAAATGTAGTCTTCAATATCCAACATTCGTCAAACGACTCCATCCCATATTTTCAAAATCATCATCGGAGACAGTAAAGACAATCATTGGCAATTTGGCACGTGATTCAGTCGAGTTTTCTTCTCGTGTTGTGTGCAAGTTAATCATGCCTTCCATAATGACTAATAAATTCTTCGCAAAATCGAACTTAATGGATTTTGGTTTAGAAAGTGGCCTCTCAAGTATGTTGACTTATAGGATCACCATTTCAGAATTCAGTAGTTTTAAAACCTCACCAATTTCTGAAGATTGGGCATGAGAATCATCCTGTGATAAAAACAAGTGGATTCGATTTCTCACCTCGATCCAACTGCAGCCTCTGCTTTTCTTCACGCCCTTTTCTTGCATCATTTTTCTTATATTCGACACATCAAGCCACCTACCAGAAGAAGCATAAATATTTGACAATAGAACATAGCCTCCAGACTTTGTCTCTGCCAGTTCCGACAGCTTTTTCGCTATCTTCTCCGCTAGTTTTTCGTTCCCGTATGTTTTACAACCACTTAGTAGAGCAGCCCATGCATTTACTTCGGGTTCAAAGGGCATATCTGTAATAAACATTTCTGCCTCGGAAATGCGTCCTGCTCGAGACAACATGTCCACCACACTTGTATAATGCCTTTCACTTGGCTTTATGCCGTAAACCTTCTCCATTGAATTGAAGTAGAAGAGCCCTTTATCAACTAAACCACAATGAGAGCAAGCAAAAAAAACTGACAAAAGAATGAGGTCATTAGGCGTAATAGTTGAAGTCCGTTCCATTTCTTCAAACAGTGAAAGTGATTCCTCTGCAAATCCGTTTTCTGCAAGCCCTTGAATCATAGCCGTCCAAGCAATCTCATTTTTTATCAGCATCCCATTGAAGACCTTCCTAGAACTTTCAATATGTCCAGTTTTTGCATACATATCTACAAGTGCCGTGCCCATGAAGACGTCATTCTGGAAGCCGAGTTTTACAACTTTTGCATGCATATACTCGCCTTTCTCTAATGAGACTAAGCTTGCACAAGCTTTTAGAACACTTGAAAAGGTGGATTTATTAGACTGTTCTCCAGACAAAATCATCTCATTGAACGTTTCAAATGCCCTGTCAAAATTTTCAGTTTCTATGTAGCCAGTGATCAAAGAGTTCCAGGAGATGTTGTTTTTATTAGGTATCTGGTTAAACAATTCTTTAGCTTCTGCAAGTTGGCCATTCAAACTATAACCTGTCACCATTGAATTCCAACAAACAACATTCTTCTCCAAAATTGAGTCAAACACGAGGCGTCCATCTTTAGTATTTCCACTTTTGCAGTACAAGTCAACAAGTGAACAGAAGATAAAGATATCTCTGTCCATCCCAATCTTCAGGACATGCCCATGGATGTTCTTTCCTTCTTGCAAAGCTTTCAGACTGGCCAATGCACTAATTACACTAGAATAGCACGAAGTATTAGGTATAAACCCGCATTGAATCATCTCATGGAACAGACTCACTGCCTCTTTGGAATAGCCACCCTGACTGTACCTTGAAATCATCACACTCCAAGAAATCTCATTTCGTTCTGGCATTTCATCGAAGATCCGACGAGCTTCTATCAAGTCCCCCGTATCCACATACATGTCTAGAATAGCGGTCCAAGAAACCACATCTCTTTCCTCCATACGATTGAAAATTCTCCTAGCTAAGTCAATATTGCCTAACTTCAAATTAAAAGAAACCAAAGAATTGGAAACAGATAACTTATCCTCAAAACCAAACTTAACGATCAACACCAACACACTCTTTCCCAATCCAAAGTCACCTAAATCACCGCAAGCTCTAACAACAGAAGTAAAAGTAACATCATTAGGCGCAACCCCAGATGCAAGCATTTTCACAAACACTCCCATTGCTTCATAACTCAATCCATTATGTACAAGCCCACTAATAGTCGCTGTCCACAAAAACACATTCTGAAAAGGGTTTCTCCCAAAATACCACATTGCCTCATCCACTCTTCCACATCTTAACAACCCCGAAATCAACACAGTCCAAGAAACCTCATTTCTTTCAGGCATTTCATCAAACAGACGACGTGCTTCACTGACATTTCCCCAGTCAACATTTGCATTAATCAAACAGTTATGAGCAACTAAATTAAACCCATTAAACTCCTTCACCATCTGCTCAATTTCATGATATTTTCTTGAATTTAAGTACATGATGAACAGTTTTACGGATATATATTTCTGTGATGAGAGGCCCATTTTGAGTAAATGGGCATGCAGGGCATTCCCACGACTGATTAACCTTTGATTCGTGAAACTTTCTAGCAAATGTATACTTGATTTTATGTATGTTTTGAAACTTTTTCTCGAGTCAATAGCAAAGAGAGTGTTCAAAATATTTTTCATGAAGAAGAGAGGTAGTTATGTTAGTTAGAATTTTAGGGAGATTTGACAGACGTGTGTAAACTACTCTTCAAATGATATGTAGAAAGTGTAAAACGGGTCAGTACATTTGTGGTCAACACTCATGCAGAGTTAAATGTTTCATTAGTTATTAAATGTATACTCACATCACATTTTACTAAATGAACTTTAAAAGGCTTTCGAATAATCACCGCATTTTAATATTTTGCACTTTGTTATTCACTCCTCATATACTTACCATATTTCATTTGTTATTGAACTTATACACGTATCACGCTTTACTCATTAAACTTTAAAATGCTTTTCATAATATTTTTGATTAAAGCTGATTTTCTACGAAATTCAACTTAGATCAAGAAAATAAAATAAATATCGACTATATAATGAGACTCTCAATTTAAAACGAGAATATTGATATTGGTAAAAAAAAAAATATAATTTTGCAAGTAGTCAAAATCTATGTTCAACGAGGAAAAAAGAATACTAGTTTCAAACTCACATAAATCTTAAATTAGATCACAATCTTCCTTTACATCGAGAAAATAAAATTCAGAAAATGTTTCTTTGTTTTGATTGAGATTGTAAACCAAATCAAGAGAATAAAAAATTATATCTCAAACATACAATGGAATTTTTGATCTAGAGTCAATAATATTAATCAAGATTAATAAAATATAATTTTTTGATTTGTCACAAAGTGATTCAAGAAGGACATCGTCTTCGTGTATGATATTTTATATTTCAAAATTTTCAATAGTTCGACAGTTGGATTATGTGAGTAAAGTTCAATGACCACTCTATAAGTTCAATGAGTAAAGCATGATAGATGTATAAGTTCAATAATTAATGAAATATGATAAATAAGTGATGGAGTGCAACATGTTAAATTTCAGTGATCACTCGAAAGCATTTTTAAAGTTCAGTAACTAATGAAGCATGGTGAATGAGTGAGTGATGAAGTGTAACCCGTTAAAGTTCCCTGACCACTCGAAATCATTTTAAAATTTAGTGAGTAAAACGTGACGGAGTTATAAGTTCAATAACTAACGAAACATTTAACTCGCTGAATCTAACTACTAAGTTGTCGTGTCATCAAATTTTAGCTGTGAATCATCAACTCTATTTATAAAGTCTATAATAACCAATGGGGTTCTAATATCCTCGTAATGTTCTCTTGGTATAAGATTCTTGCAAGGAATCCGGTACATTATAAGCCTCTTGCTGCAATTGAATTCGCACGATTCATAGGATTGGATGGCAAAAACGGCATCGTTTGTGCCATGTTTCCCTTTTGTTGCAAGTATATATAAAAATTTGTTGGTGGGGAAGCGTCCCTTAGTTTGAGTTGTGTCGTCCAACTTGCGTGTCTTAGTGCTTGCGCAAACCATTGTCGCGAAGCGAAGATCTTTCAATTGATTGAGGGTAATGGACGGTGATGCAAATGAATTATGCATGAGAAATAAGGGAATTTACACATTTCGAGTTCAATGACAAATATATGATTATTAAAATGAACTTGTTTTCGGAACCATTAGGAAAGTCTATAAATGATGTAAATATTGGAGAGGAAGAGATCTTGGGTGGATTAATGAAGGATGAATTGGGCTTAACCATATCTGAAACTGATCTTTCAAGTGCAAATAAACTAAATGTTGGACAAAGAGCTGCGACCTATTCTAGTTTGGCTAAAGTTTTCAGCAATATAAGAGACTTATTTTTTGCGGAAACGAAGAGATTTATTACTGCAGTATGATATAAAACTATTGCCAGACTTAGCAATGGATTATGAAAATGATGATATTTCCTTAGAAAAATTAATCCATGGAGTGTTTTCAAATATAAGAGTACCAAAAAATCTTGACCACATGATTAACCGAGTGATTTTAGCTCCCAAAAATGAACATATTGATAATGTAAATAGAAGTTTGGTCGAAAGATTTCATGGTTAAACTAGACGGTTGACCTCAAAATCGAGATGAACAAATTCAGTTCATGGTGATTATAAAAAAAATATCTGAAAAAAAAAAAAGCAAGCATGCGCAATACACGTGCAATGCAGTTTCACATTTGATTAGAAATTGGTAACGAAGAAAAAAAATGTAAATTACTGTCAAAATTAACCTTTCAATAACAAAGGAGTTTTAGGGGATGGAGTATTACAATTTTTATATTATTTTACTTTTTAAGTTATATATATTTGTTCGATAAGTTGCTATTAATGAGTTAATTTTAGCTATTTAATAAGAAGTGGAGAAGTGCTCCTTCTTTAAGGAAAAGAGTGAATGTTATTCAGTATTTAATCAGTTGGGTTTTGTGATCCAAATTCAGATTAGGATTTACGTGGTTTGGAATGTTGGGCTTGAAGATGTCAAAAGAGGAAAAACAGAGTTGAAGGCACCGGAATAACGCTCGCCGACCACTTGAGCGATAGGGAGAGATTTGGAGCAGCGAGTGTTGCTTGATCGCCACACTCGACTCTCGCCTAGTGTGAGATTAGAGCTCGAGCACTGGAAAGTCCAAATTTTTCCGACCTAGTTTCCATTCTTCTCTCCATTATAGTTTTTGAATAAAATCTAGAATTCCTTTGCCAAATTAAATTCTTGTGTTCTTGTTGCTAGGATCAATACTTCATATTGTAGAGTATAACCTCGTACCTTTATAACAAGTGGTATTAGAGCTTTTGTTTGATTCGTTCAAAATTCTTTGTTATTGATGGCGACCATGAAGTATGATGTTCCGCTTTTAGATCGCAGTACTAGATTCTCGTTATTGTAGGGGAATATGCAAGTAGTACTCGCTCGATGGATTTGGATGATACGTTGTTGGAATTTAACAAAATGCCCACAACTTGAATGATGGAGGAGAAACAACGAAAGGATCGAAAGGTAATTTCATAACTTCATCTTCATCTTTCGAATAATATTTTTTAGAACGTTTTGAAGGAGAAAGCGACAGTTGCATTGTGGTTGAACTTCAAATAATTGTGCATGATTAAGAATCTGACTAGCAAATTGCACTTGAAGCAATGTTTATATTCTCATCGCATGACAAAAGGTGGATCTTTGGAAGATCATTTGACTCTTTTTAAAGAAATCATCGCTAATTTGGAGACCTTAGAGGTAAAATACGATGAAGAAGATTTGGCCTTAATTCTAATGTATTTGTTGCCCGCTTCGTTTATAACATTTAGAGACATAATTTTATATAGTCGTGATATTTTCACCATTGAAGATGTGTACGATACTTTGATTTCAAATGAGAAGATGAAACATCTGGTTGGATTTGAGGGTAGAGATGGAGAATGCCTTATTGTTCATGGTTGTTATGGAAAGTACATGTTGAAATCTAATTTCAGTAATTAGGTTTGCTTTTATTGTAAAAAGAAATGACACAATAAGATGGATTGCAATAAGTTGCAGAATAAATGAAATTTGGCTGTAAATCATAATGGAAAGCAATCAGATTAATTCAGGCGAGGCCAGTGTCGCAGTGGACTATTTGAGTGATGAGGATCTTTGACCATTTCTGACGGCTAATCTAAACCTGACGTGGATTGGATTCTGGATTTAGCTTGTACTTTTCATATTTGTCCAAATCGGGGTTTGTTTCAACATATGAAACATTATTGAAAAGTATTGTGGTTATGGAAAACAATGCACCTTGATAGCTGGTATTGGTAGAGTCAAACTTAAACTGTTAGATGAGACATTTAAAATGCTTGATCACATTCGACATGTTCTGGATTTGAAAAAAATCCCATCGCGTTGACTACTCTTGATTCAGAAGGATACGAGTTCATTAGTGGAGGTAGAGCTTTGTATGTTTGCAAAGGTATCCGAGTTGTATTGAAGCGGCGAAAATGGTCCCAGTTATACATTTTGCAAGATTGTGCGGAATAATTGGGGTCCGTGATGGACATTCAATTTTGTACAGTACCATTAAGATTTGATTTAAGGTCCGTGTTGAAGAATACAACTCATTAAAGTTCAGATGATATGGATAATACAGATTTGCCACCATCACCTATAGTGACATCGCATTCAATTGCGAGGGACAAAACCATTGGAGAAAGGTATGGGAAAGTTGATTTTGTTGTGCATGCTTTAAGTATATTTGAAGGTGTTCAATCTAGTAAGGGGCTTTATACAAAAATATTTAGTGTTGATTCTGTCTCAGAGTTATTTTGTAAATTTTAAATCATTTGTGATTTTTGGAAACCTAAGGTAATTGTGTGGAGCAGTGTTTGGATTCATTTATCCAGATGGATATTGTGAAAGAGGTAAAGAATTTTTTGTTCATTGGAGAAGTTAGTTTGATTCTAATTTAAGAATTTAGTTAATTCCTTGCAGTTGAGTTTTTTTCTTCAGGTGGAAAAATTTTGAAAGTTTGTTCATTGCAGTGGAACTTGTTGGGTTTTGTGACCCAAATTCAGACGAGGGTTTACGTGGTTTGGAGTATTGGGCTTGAAATGTCAAAATATGGTTCAAGGAGGAAAAAAGGAGTTGATTGGGCCAGAATAAGTCTTGGCTACCGCTCGAGTGGTAGGGTGGGATTTAGAGCATCAAGCAAGTGTCTCGCTCGCCTGGCCCTTACACCCAGCTTTTGCCTAGCGTAAGACTAGTGCCAGGCAGTTCGAATTTTTCCATCTTTCTTTCCTACACACATTTTTTGACTTAGTTTTCATTTTTAGGGCTATTTCTAAAGTTTGACATGGATCCTTATAAATAGTAGACTCTTCTTTACAAATTTTCCATTACTAAAAGTTAAAATCATTGTGTAAGAACACAATTATTGTATTTTCTCTCCATTATAGTTGTTGAATAAAATCTTCAATTTCTCTGTAAAATTAAATTCTCATTTCTTATATTCTTGTTGTTCTAATCAATACTTCATATCGTGCATACACCTGTCCATTTTCTAACATAATCATACACAAGGAATGAAGAAAAGGTGGATAAAGGAAAAATTATTCGTAGAAATGGGAAAGTGTGGATTAATTATTTGAAAATCAATATATTGAGAAGTCTAGAGGCCGTTCTCTTTGTGTTTCAATTTTATGTTTTGAGTGTCTATTTTGAAATTTCTGAAAATGCGTTCTTTTTTCCATTCTAAAAAACTGTTTTTGAAAACATAAAAATGAAAAACGTTTTTATTTTGAAATTTTGAGATTTTTTAAATAATATTTTATTCAAGAATCTGATTATTCAATAAGTTTAAACAGTTTAATGTTAATATAGTATTAAATAACATATAAATTTTGAAATTGGTGAATCTTGAAATATTTTTTTTCCAAATATAAAAAACATAACCTAAATTAAATTTGGCAAATCCTTATTTTTGTCCTTGTATGTATCTTGTGACAATTTTATCGAGTTCATGTTAGTTCTCATAATTCTTGCCAAATACAATTTTGATAGTCTAAACACAATGACTATCATAAGTACAATTTGATTACCTAAAAAAATAATCAAAATGATATCATATACATGAAGAAATAATATTTGTTATATCAGAAGTCTGTTTTAACAACTGCACTGAGTACATCTGTAATTCCAAATGACATTTGTGAATGTTCATACTACAGCCAATCCTTTGCAAAGAACATAAAATTGAAACACAAATTGAAGACTTCAGAAGCTCGTGAAGAAAGATTCATCAAATTGAAACAAACAGCTTCAAGTGCTCTGTACAAAGAACATAATTGTCGATGACATAATTTGTTCGGTCTTGGAAGCCACCTCAACGTACTTGAAGTGAACGTCAGGATCCTCGTTGTAGTAAAGCAAATATTAGTACACAAGCTAACCAGTATAATATGTATAACGGCTCAGCACTTAGACCCTGCAGTGCGAAGTCTCGTGCTTTCTTCAGAAATTGCTTGGAGCTCAAATATGATCCCAAGAAGAAATATAATCCTTCATACGACTTAAACTGCTCAAATATCTTGATGCAAGAGTCAACCCCCAACCGTTCACAATATTCTTTTGCAACCTACAGAAAAGAACTAGTCAATCACTCAATGTTGCTAATAACAAATTCACTACTGGAGAGTGCAATGATCAAGAAGATTTGATAAAATTTCTGTAAATTGTTTAAATATAGGAAAAGATCTGAAGATCAAGATGAAGTTATCTAATAGGAATCAATAAATACAGGGGAAATTATGGAAATATAAGTTCGAGGATGTTGAGATTATTCCCATCTGGGTTGTTTCTGCTGCAGGTTTAATCACAAACAAAAATCACTCAAGTTCAGAAATAGCTCATACACCAATAGAATTCTTGCTTGCATATTCAGTAGTATAATGTAAAGAACAAAGGGCTATAAACAACACTGGTGATGCCATGCTAAACATGGATTAAACCACTTAATTCAAGACCAAACATACAGCAAAAACAGTTAAAATATGAGGATGGCAAAAAATCAATAAACTACTACGATGTGTGCCCCCCTCTGCAGCAGCTTCAAAGGTCTCACCATCAACAAGGTCAGGCATATTATCCTCATCGTCTTTCTGTTCCAAAGTAGCACCAGCACCAGACGCTTGCTTCTGGAACTACTATACCAATTTGTTCAGATTCTCCAAGTTATCAGGGCCTGAATTTTTTAGGTTAAACCATTCATTTAATCAAGTTCTAATAGCAGCAATAAAACAGGAAAATACCACAAGAAACATGAAGTGATGCGTACCCAACTGATGAAAAATTTGAGGAAGAATGTCTTGCAATTCATAACACATTAATAATCTCACTTAGAACTTCTAACAATTTATGCAAAAATTCTCATAATAGATTATCAAAGCTCACATAGTTGGCATAGAAAATCAGTTAATTAAGGCAGAAACAGTACGAACCTTGATTGATTTCACGTTTCAACAGAAGGTAGATTAACCATAATTTAGCATATTAATTAATGTTCGTGACTTTATAACGTAAAGTAACTAACGAATGGAACAACAAAAACACCCAATCCCAAACTCACCACCACTGCCAGTCACCACCACCACTGCCTACCATCGCCACCACCAGTCACCGCTGTCAACACAACCACCACTGCAATTTCCAATCAACACAACCGAAANTCACCACTGCAAATTCCAATCAACACAACCGAAATCAATTTGTCGAAACCAATCAACACAACCGAAATCGAAAAAACCAAAAACCCCCAAACTTGCAGATCAAAAAGAGAGAAAACTTCACCTTACCGAGAACGACATCAATGGGTCGCCGACGCCGAAGAGAGAGTATGCAGAGATGGGCCAAACCACAGTAACATCGTGAAGAATAGGTCGCGACGCTGCGTTCATGCGTGCGAATAATGGGTCACCTCCCCACATTGGCTTCGAAACCCACTCATCTCCTTCGTCCAGAGGGAAGGAAGAGAGGGGATGGATTGGAAGAAGATGGAAGAAATTGAAAATGGGGCGGTTTAGCCGTGGAGGTGTTAAAAATGGCCATTTCTTTGTTTTTGTTTTTTCCCCCCTGTTTTTGCTTGAAAACAGTCAAAACGTTGTTTTTATTGTTTTTTTGTCTTGTGTACAAATTTCTTATCGTTGTCCAAAATGCATTTTCAAAAATAGGAAAGAGAACGTGTTTTCATTGTTTTGAAAAATCGAAAACAGAAAATGACCCAAAACAGGCAAAGAGAACACCATCTTAGATTTCTCGAATAAATCTATCATTTTTTTTTTATTTTTTATATGAACAATTTGGGTTCATGTCAATCTAAGATTAGGTTCCGATCTTCTAGAACATACGTGAGGATATATTTTATCTTTTCATGACATCAATAAGAATATTAATTTTTAAACAATAGACTAGTTGAGTAACAATAGTTAAACCAAATATTCAGTTTAATGATTAATTAAGTAACTTTTAATGTTCAATGGTGTTGACGGTAAAAATCGGATCTAATGATTTTATTGACAAACTATTACAATCAAATATCAATGGAAATATAATGAACAAATCCTCTCACCTAAGTATGAGTTTTACCTCCTAAATTTGTTAGTCTGGATGCTAAAACTAGAACAAGAGAATAAATAGCAATTTGAAAATGAGATATTTGAATTGCATGTGATTCTTCAACTGGAGGGGGTATTTATAGATTGCGTCCCATGCGTTGGAGTAATTGGTAACTCTTACTCCGTGCTGGTGGCTGCTCTTTATCGGTAATCTGATAATTGATTTCCGTTAAGGATCACATTTTATTTATTTTCCCACATGCTTCTTAATGACAGTCTAAAGCCAACTTGAAAATTAGAATGGTTTGTGACGGAATATGTGAACCATTTGCTTCTCTATTTCCTTCACTTTTATCTGACTTGGGATTTATCGGCCTAAAGCTCGCTACATGGGTTATACAGAAAGCAAATGAGAAGATACTAAAAAAAAAAAAAATATGAAAAAAAATATGAAAATGAAAAAAAAATACATTACAAATAAAAAAAAAAAAAGAAAAAAAGAAAACATGAAAGTGAAAAAGAAAAAAAATACTCAAATACATTGATTATGTCCCGGGCATCTAGTCGAAAAAACTACACATTTGATAAGAATTAAGTAACTTAATCTAGTTTTAAGGGTCAAAGTAATAAAAAAATATAGAAGCACCTCAACTTGTTGAAGTGTGAACTTGTAAGAGTGAGGTTTATCCAAACTAAGAGAGGGTAAGAATAGAATTGAATAAGTTCAACTCAGGATGCACCCCGGAAAAATTGAGTGAAAAACATAAGTTGGGGGGATGTGTGTATCTCTCGAGTGAGGTAAGGATATATTTGACTACTATGGGTCAGGCGTTGAACCAAGCACAATCTTAATATGTTGACATGAGTTTTCACACACACGTCGGGTTATGCATGCAATAGGTGGAGATTTATTTAATTTTTGCAATAAGTTTGGAGGGTATGTATCTCTCGAGCGAGGTAAGGATATATTTGACTAATATGGGTCAGACGTTGAACCAATCACAATCTTAATATGTTAACATGAGTTTTCATACATACACACGTCTGGTTATACATGTAATAGGTGAAGATTTATTTAATTTTTGTATTGTGTACTTGTTCAGTTGTTTGATTAGCAAAATCCAATCCTGAGACAAGGCATATTGCTGGACTATGTTGTACATGGAGTTGAGTTATATTCTTTTATTTGAGGACAAACAATAGTTCAAGTTTGGGGGAGTTTGATAAGTGCGTTTTTACACACTTATCTTACTGTTAAAATATGGAAATTGTTGACTAATATGTTGGAATATAGCTTAATTTTATGTAATTTATGTTTTGTAGGACAGTGATGAATATAATGGAAATAAGGAGAAACAAGAGAAAAGACCAAAATAGAAGAAAGTGAAAGTTCAGGGACTAAAGGGCAAATACTCTAAACTTGTTTCTAACTTTGTGATGAAAATTTGAGAGTGTTAGAGGTCAATTGGATGAAGAAATGAGTCAACGTGATGAAATATAGTTAATATATTATCACATATCAACTTTCAAACTGAAAAGTTTTGCACCGATTTTGAGCTTCATTGAAACCAGTTTTTAACATGGAAAATGATCTAATTCAAAGATGGTATTTAAACCAAATAGTTAGCTTCCCAACGCATCTTGAATTACCTCAATCGGATATTATAGAGAAAGTTATGGCCCAAAGATGCTATAAGGCGCGCGCTTCACACCAAGGCTGCCTCGACCAAGGCTGCCAAAATCCTTAAGGCACACGCCCTATTTTACACTAGGCGAGTGCCTCAAGCCAAAACTTGACGAAAATTCTGATTTCCTTCTTCGACTCAACTACTTATGATAAATTATTTTGGCACGATTTCTCAACCTAAAGGACACCAAAAACGTTGAAAAATGCCTCATTATTCATCATAATTTCATCTCTTTTTGCTCAAAGAACTCATGAAGAACTAAATATTTTGGGGAAGCAAGGGATGAACTCAATTGGATATGGTGATTTCACATCTATTATTTCATATAATTGGTCCTTTCTTGCTAAATAATTTTAGGATTTAGACTTTTCTATTCATGGATTTATATTGAAATCGGATTAATAATTACTAGATTTTTCATGGATTCAGTCATATTTTTTCCATTGTTTNATCTTATGCTGGAATCTTGTTTCAATAAAATTGTGCGAATATGTCATAAGTCTAGATTTTAGGATTACATTTGTAAATTAAATTGATTTTCACGATATATCTTCCGATTCGAGTATCGGGATGAAAGCCTCTAATTGTGTTATAAAAATAGAATAATTGATGTGAATGATCCAATCCAATTGAGAGAATTCCGGCGCTTCACTGCATCAAATTATTGACTTTGATTTCACCTTTCAACATTAAATTTCACTACACATTGAAGACGATAACTCATCTCTTTTTGAAACCATTAAGCATTTTCCATTTCCCTGTGGATACGACATCCCCAAACTGCACTATAACTACTGCGTTATTCTTTGGGCGTAATCAAATTTTGGCACCGTTGTTGGGGAGACGGTACAAAATACGCAAGGATCAACTGAAAAGGGTGACATCATTCCTTTACTTTTGTTTTTAGTTAATTTAATTTTCGTTACTGGATTTTTCTTATTCTCACATATTTTTTGTACTTGTTCCATGAGCAGGTATCGAGGAGAGCAAAGAAGATCTGCTGACAGACTTGATATAAAGTTTGAATATCTTTTTAACCCTACTTTTGATTCTGTACCTGTTAAAACTGACACCTCATCACACAACACCATGAGTGATAGTGAGCATGATGCACCTTTTAGGATTTTACATAATTATCTTCACCCCACACGCACATCCATACCATGCATTATTTTTCTACCTAATATGTCACGCATGAACCTTAATCCGGGTATGATTCAACTACTTCCTACTTTTCATGGACTTAAAAATGAAAATTCATACGAGCATATTAGTAAATTTGAGTAGGTGCTTGCAACCTTCCATAATCAACATAGTACGTCAGATGCATTCAGGCTTAAATTTTTCCATTTTTCGCTTAAAGATAGAGCAAAAAGCTGGATGTACTCGTTGAGACCACATTCGATTGGAACATGAGGTGAAATGACTCAAGCTTTCTTCAGCAAATATTTTCCCCATCATAAAGCTAGTGCTCTGAAGAAACAAATTTCTTCATTCACTCAAAAAAACAGTGAAACCTTATACTAAGCATGATAGCGATACAAAGATTTACAAGCTCTTTGACCCAATCATGGCTATGAGAGCTAGCGAATAGTGAGTTATTTCTATGAGGGACTAACACCTAGGGAGCGTCAATTTATTGAGATGATGTCTAATGGTGCGTTCTTGCAAAAAAACCCGGACGAGGCCATAGAATATTTAGATGACCTAGCTGAAAAAGCTCAAAGGTGGACTGACCCTAGCACTACTGATAACACTAATAGGTCACGATCCGTAGGAAATCTTTCTAATGCAGGCATTTTTCATCTTAGAGAAGAAGATAGACTTAGAGTTAAAGTAGAAGCCTTAACTAGAGAAATTGAGACCATACATACTAAGAATTCAAAACCTATACCAATTGTTGCCTGTGTTGAATCCTCTGGACCATATTGTGTGTGTGGTGGAATTGATCATCCAATATATGAGTGTTTTGCTCTAGTTGAGATGAGGGAAGTTTATGAGGAACACTGCAATGCCTTAGGCACGTATAAAAAGCTTTATGCTCCATTTTTATTATCTATAATTAGGGATGGTGGAATCATCCCAACTTCAATTGGAAATCTGAAAACTAGCAACCTACCCAACCTCTTAGAGTTTTTAATAGACCTTCATACCAATCCACGTTATCTAATTCTTAGAAGATACCTTACATGCATTCATTGAGGTACAGCGAAAAAAAAACCAAAAAATTGAGACTATAATTACCCAAATTGTTGAGGAAAACAAGCAAATCAAAAATCATACCTTTAAACTAACTAGTGCCTTAGCAGTAGTGGAATGTAGAAAATTTTCGGCTCAAGCTCAACCAAATCCTAAAGAGCAGTACATGGCATAAACATCAAGTTCAAATGAAAAGAATCTTAGGAAGTGAATGCTACAACAATTAGATCAAGGAAAGTCATATAACCAATCCCTAAACCTAGGGAAACTGAAAAGAAGTCTAGTGAGCCTGAAGATAATAGCCCTAATGAGGAGTTAGTGAAAAATCCAGTAAGAGTACCGTTCCCACTAGCTCTTATGTCTACCTCAAAATCTGCTAGTCAATATAGTGAGATCTCAGAACACCTAAAGCAAGTAAAAATCAATTTCCCGCTCTTGCATGTGATTTCACAGGTTCCTACTTATGCCAAAGTCCTTAAGGACTTA